GACTCCTCAGTAAGGTTGAGGGGAAATAAATCAAATTGTGCTTCAAGCCATCTGAGGGAGGATCACAGACCCAGCAGCTCGTTAAATTTAATGTGCTCATGACAGTTTGGGGGAACAGCAGAGCATTTTCCTGGTGGGCAAGGCCCTAGGGACAATTTCAAAAAACAGACACCATTAACATTCTTCCTTTTATTGTACCTCCTGGGGTCTGAGATAGTCTCTTCCCAGGTGTCAAGATTATTCTCTCTACTTCCTCAAAATCAGTTGTTCTGTTTCATTATTTATAAGTTCATCTTTTTTCCAGTTGTTCCCTACTTGCAACCAGACCTTTTGTCTAGAATGGGCAGGTGCAAGAAGGACAAGGCATTTTTATAAATCTTACAGAGACCCTTTATGTACACGTGGGCCACCTTAGGAAGACTCAACAAGCAGTGTACTCAAGCAGGCAGTCATTATCTTATGATTTAGGACCACGTTAATCCTTTAGGAGAATCCAGGTGGCTAAATAGAATTAAGTTGGAATTTCCTAGGGCCCTTTTGGCCAGGCTGCCACATGGAAGGTGTACTAACTAGGCTGCCTGGGTTTGTCATTAGGGGAAAGAAAGAAGCATCATGCCAGGAATGCTCAGGGCAGAATCCCAAATTTTCAAAAAAGGTAAAAAAAACTTCATGCATTTCTTTGTGTGTGTGGTGGGGGGGGGTGCGGCGGGGGGGATGCGGCAGGGTCTCACCCTGTAGCCCAGGCTGGAGTGCGGTGGCACAATCTTGGCTTACTGCAACCTCCACCTCCTGAGTTCAATCGATTCTTCTGCCTCAGCCTCCTAAGTAGCTGGGATTACAGGCACACGCTATCTCGCCCAGCTAATTTTTGTATTTTTAGTGCAGACAGGATTTCACCATGTTGGCCAGGCTGGTCTGGAACTCCTAACCTCAAGTAGTCTACATGCCCTGGCTCCCCAAAGTGCTGAGATTACAGGCATGAGCCACCATGCCCGGCTATTTCTTTATGCTGTTTTTAAACCTTGAAGTCAATGGAATTTAATTTTTATATATGGTGGTAAAACAGGAAAGGCTCCCTTGTCCCCTCGCAGGGTGTGTGATGGGAGTGTAGCTCGCTTCTTCAGCACCCCCCTGCTCAAACCTCTAGGGGTGCATACAGACAGGCAGGCTGTGGGTCTCCCACCCCACAGCAGTGTCTAGGAGTGAAAGTTTACAGCTGAAGCCCCAGTGGGCGTGTGTTACAGGGTGCTCTTTTAGGTTAGCCATCCACAGGTGGCTTATGTTAGCTTGATTAGACCCCCTTGCTTTATCACAAGTACAGAGGGCTTTCTGTATCCCAGCATTCTTGCCCTGGTGTACCGGAAGAATTGGATCACATGTGGGCCTGGGGAATTAGTGCAGGGTTTTATTGAATGGAAGTAGCTCTCAGCAGATAGGGGAGCCAGAAGGGAGATGGTTTTTCCCTGGGGTTGGGCCACTCAGCAGCCTGACTCTTCTCTGACTGCCCTGGCCAATCTCCAAGTTGTCCCACCAGTGGATGGCCTGCTGGTGTGCCAGCCTGCTGGTGCCTGTTGGTGTGCTCTTGACATCCAGCTACTTGTGTGTTCCTCTGTGGATGTGCTCCTCTTGACATCCAGCTGCTTGTGTGCCTGCCTGCTAGGGTCTTGGGGTTTTTTATAGGCACAGGATGGTCTTGGGAAATGCAGCATTTGGGGGTGAAGGCAGGAGTGCCTATCCTCACCTAGGTCCCTGGGCACAGGCTGGGGGTGGAGCCCTCACCAGGGACCCCCCTTTCTCCTCCCAGCACTTCCCTGCCTGCTTCCCGTATCAGTGGGAGATTGGGATCAATTGTAATTTTATCTGTGTGGATAATCAGTTACCACAGTACCTTTCTCTGTGATCTGCAGTATTAGCTCTTTTACAAATCAAGTTTTTATACGTGTGTTAATATATGTCTGCTCCTGTGCCTTTTACTCTTATTTTATTGGCTTACTTGTACCCACAGTCCTAATTACTTGAGTTTTACGGTATTTTTAGCTATCTGGATGAGTCCTCCAACCTTGTTCTTCTTTCAGATTTTCTTTGCTACTCTTACTCTTGGCCCTTGATATGTGTATTTGCATTTTAAAATCTACATCTTAGGGCGGAGCATGATGGCTCACACGTGTAATCCCAGCACTTTGGGAGGCCGAGGTGGGCCAGTTGCCTGAGATTAGGAGTTGGAGACCAGCTTGGCCAACATGGCAAAACCCCGTCTCTACTAAAAATATAAAAAATTAGCGAGGTGTGGTGGTGTGCACCTGTAGTCCCAGCTACTCGGGAGGCTGAGGCACGAGAATCGCTTGAACCCAGGAGGTGGAGGTTGCAATAAGCCAAAATTTCGCCACTGCACTTCAGCCTGGGCAACAGAGCAAGACTTTGTTTCAAAACAAATAAATAAAATAAAATAAATCAACTTCTCAGGTCACTTACAGACACACACACACACACACACACACACACACTGCTTTTATTGGAATTGCGTTGCATTTATAATCAATGGGGAGAATGTCATCTTTCTAATGTGAAATCCTCTAATCTATGAGCATAACACATCTCCTTTTTTTCCCCTGTTTGTTTGTATTTTCGAGACTGAGTCTGGCTCTGTCGCCCAGGCTGGAATGCAATGGCGCGATCTCAGCTCCCTGCAACCTCCGCCTCCCAAGTTCGAGTTATTCTCCAGCCTCAGCCTCCAGAGTAGCTGGGATTACAGGCGCCCACCACCATGCTTGGCTAATTTTTGTATTTTTAGTAGAGATGAAGTTTCACCATCTTGGTCAGGCTGGTCTTGAACTCCTGACCTCAAGCAGTCCACCTGCCTTGGCCTCCCAAAGTGCTGGGATTATAGGCGTGAGCCACATCTCCTTTTTAAGGCATATCTTTTTTTTTTTCTTTTTAACGGAACATCTCCCTATTAAAAATGTGAAATACCAATGTGGAAACAAAAGGACCTTGACCTCTATCTCATACTATACACAAAAATTAATTTAAAATGGATCGTAGACCTCAGTGTAAAAGCTAAAACCATAAAGCTTCTAGAAGAAAATATAGGATATCTTTCTTATGTACATGGGTAGAGATTTCTTAGGCCATAGAAAGCATGAATCATAAAAGAAAAATATTGATTAAATAGTGGACTTTATCAAAAATTTTAAAATTCTGCTCATCAAAAGACGTTATCTAAAAAATAAGTTGTCAAACCATAGATTGGAAGAGGGTATATGACCAAGGAAAAGCAACCTATTAAAAATGAGCAAAAATCTTGAAGAGATACTTCACAAAAGGTCATACCAATGACCAAAGCACGTGAAAAGTGCTCAGCATCGTTAGTCATCGAGGAAATGCAAATCAGAATCACAGGAGACACTGCATACCCACAGGATGGCTATAAAGGAAGGAAAAACAAAACAACAGCAAATGTTGAAAAAAAGGTAGAAATCTCCATCAGAAATCTACCTTATTGTTGGGAGTGTTAAATGGTATAATGATTTTGGGAAACTGTCAGTTTCCTAAACAGTTAGACATGTTACAGTTTTATTATCAGATATTAATCCAGGAGAAATGAAAATATGTTCTTTAAAAGTCTTACGTAAGAATTTTACATCAGCTTTATTCATAATAGCAAAAAAAGGTAAAGAACCCATGTCTGTCAAGAGGAGAATTAATAAACAAACTTATAGATTCATATAATAGAATACTACTCAACAAAAAAAGAACCAGATGATATTGATATGTTGAATAACATGGATAAATTTCATTAACTCTGTGCTGAGTGAAAAAATTGAGACAGAAAATGTATTATTAGATTTATAGGAAATTCTAGAATAGACAAAACCAAACTGTGATGATAGAAATCAAATCAGAGGTTCCTTTGTAGGGTGGGAGATGACTGAGAAGGGGCATGGGTGATCTTTATGGGATGATGGAAATTTTCTGAGTCTTCATAGGGGTGTGGATTACACGAATATGCATTTGTGGGCTGAATGGTACACTCAATCAGAGCATTTGCTGTGTATAAAAATGTTTCAGTTTTTTAAAAATGTGATATTCTGTATTACAATTAATAGGGACATAACACGTAGAGTTGATAAAAGTGGGTAGATTAGGAAATATTTACATCACCCCTTCAGAGTAATTCTTTAATAGTTATGGAGACAGTATGTTCCTAAATGGTATATTTAGCTTGAGCTTTTTGATCAGTGGTGCAGTCTGAGGAACTATTTTACTTTCATAGTTCAAGAGAAGTTTTTATAAAGATGGAAAAGATAATCCTTAGAAGTTCAGCAGGGATTGGATTTCCAGACCTTCACATGCCAAGACTGTACTTCTGATAATCGTACTCAAAACCAGTGGTTCTCAGTCAGGGGCCATTTTGTCCCATGGGGTGTATTTGGCAATGTCTGACGACATTTTGATTGTCATGATTGTTGGGGAGGGTTGTGCTGCTGGCACCTAGTGGGTAGAAGCCACGGAAGCTGCTAAACATGTATAGGACACAGTGTATAGGACAGCCCCTTAAAACAAAGAGTTGTTTGGTCCAAAATGTAATTGGTGCCATGGTTGAGAAAGCTTGGTCTAGACCTGTCCTTACCACTGAAGCTGAGTCAGTCTCAGTCAATCAGGTGTTGAGTCTACTTATAGTCCAAATCAGTTATGGAAACTTGGCATCTACAGATTACATATTTCTCCCCTGACAGAATATAATATCAAATATTTGTAAACATACATAATCTTAAATTTTGAGATAACAGTTCATGTATTGAGAGCACTTCAGAAATCAAAATTATCTTTTATGTTTATTGTTAAACTCTTAAGATGCTGTAGATTCTGTTTTTAACTGTATTTAATTAAATGTCCAAACAAATGACCTTAGTTATCTTCCTTTTTTAAAAAAAGGCTTTATTGTCAGATCAAAGGGAATAAATGATAATAACTCATCCTTTTTCCTCCTCCTTTCACAGAATGACAGGCAGAGAGTTTTTCTCGCGTTTCCCAGAACTCTATCCTTTTCTTCTCAAACAGTTGGAAACTGTAGCCAATACAGTAGACAGGTAAGAAGAGAATTGGGTGGGGCAAAATGAACTCATGGTCATATTACCTTCATGATTGAGATTTTCCCTCTAGGCAACTGTTTTTAATAAAATTCTTCCTTTTTTTTAAATTAAAAAAAAATTTTTTCCTTGAGACAGTGTCTTTCCCTGTCACCCCCAGGCTGGAGTACAGTAGTGGCCACTACACTCTACCCATTTTTGTATTTTTTGTAGAGATGGGGTTTTGTCATGTTTCCCAGGCCGGTCTCAAACTCCTGAGCTCAAGCGATCTGCCCACCTCAGCCTACCAAAGTGCTGGGATTACAGGCATGAGCCACTGTGCATGGTCAGACTTCTTCCTTGTAATAAAATTAGCTTTTTTAAAAAGGTGCTTTTTTAAATAATTATATTATGTTGCCTGGTTTTCTATAGTAGATTTGTACTTGAAAAGCTGTGTAAAATCTTGTCTTTATATTTTAAAAATCCTATTTTATGTTAAATTTTATCAAACTTAATTCCATTTTCTGTGTTATAGAAACTAAGAATCACATGGTGATTTCTTCTGTTATGAATTATTTTCTTCCTATTATTAAAAAAAATCTGTGTTTACATATTGAGCTTGCTCTATGCACACCTGTCTTTTTTTTTATTATTGACTTGTTACATCTTGCCATTGTGAAACTATAGCAATTAGCTGACTAATGTGATCACTTATATTCAGAAATGGTCTTGTTCTACCTTAGTGAAAGTGGCTGGTATTGTTGGAAACAGAGAGCAAAGCCATTAAGAGGACTTCCAGTTTTATAGTTCACCATTGTCTTCACACCTATAATCCCAGCACTCTGGGAGGCTGAAGCAGGCTGATCACCTGAAGCCAGGAGTTAGATCAGCCTGGCCAACACTGCAAAAACCTGCCTCTGTTTAAAATTGGCCAGGCACGGTGGCTCACGCCTGTAATCCCAACATTTTGGGAGGCCGAGGCAGGCAGATCATCTGAGATCAAGAGTTTGAGACCAACCTGGCCAACATAGTGAAACCCCGTCTCTGCTAAAAATTAAAAATTAGCTGGGTATGGTGGCACACACCTGTAGTCCCAGCTACTTGGGAGGCTGAGGTAGGAGAATCACTTGAACAAGGGACGTGGAGGTTGCAGTGGGCTGAGATCGTGCTGCTGCACTACAGCCTGGGCAACAGAGTGAGGCTCTGTCTCAAGAAAAAAAAAAAAAAAACAAGCAAAAAAATTAACCAGGCGTGGTGGTGTGCACCTGTAATCCCAGCTACTTGGGAGGCTGAGGAGAATCGCTTGAATCCAGGAGGCGGAGGTTGCAATGAGTCGAGATTGCGCCGCTGCACTCCAGCCTGGGAGACAGAAAAAGACTTCGTCTCCCCCCACCCAAAAAAAATCACATTCTAATGCTGGTAGTAGTGGAATTTTTAGTATGGATATCTTAGAGCATGTGTTTTGTATTTTTCCTGTAATTTTGCACGTGGTGTGAATGTGCACTTATTGTCTATAATTAAAAAATAAAATTATATTAATGAATTTTACTTCTGTTTATGATGCGTTTGCTCACATTAGTAGTTTACGCAAACGTGCTTTTCTGGCCTTTAGTGACTGCCTGCTCATACTTTTTTTTTTTTTTTTTTTGAGACGAGTTTCGCTCTTGTTGCACAGGCTGGACTGCAATAGCATGATCTCGGCTCACCACAACCTCCACCTCCCAGGTTCAAGTGATTCGCCTGCCTCAGCCTCCCGAGTAGCTGGGATTACAGGCGTGGGCCACCATGCCTAGCTAATTTTTTGTATTTTTAGGAGAGACGGGGTTTCTCCATGTAGGTCAGGCTGGTCTCAAACTCCCAATCTCAGGTGATCTGCCTGCCTTGGCCTCCCAAAGTGCTGGGATTACAGGCATGAGTCACCACACCCAGCCCATGCTTTCTTAAATACATTTTGATGTTGAAAGTTTCACATTTCGTGCTCTAGAACAGGCACCTCTCTACTATAGGAGCAATTCTAATCAAAATAGCAGACTCTAATTATGCAAATGGTTAGCTTTGAGAAGAGGATCCTGTTCAAAAGCCCAAGCCACTGTTTTGCCAGTAGTATTTTCTTATGATGCACATTAGGGAGATATGAAGTGAACATAAGAGGAAAAAAAACCAGAACTCTCCTTTGATTGTAGAGTCTTACTTTATATACTTTTTTTTTTTGAAATGGAGTCTCACTTTTTTACCCAGGCTGGAGTGTAATGGCCCAATCTTGGCTCACTGCAACCTCTACCTCCTGGGTTCAAGTGATTCTCCTACCTCATCCTCCCGAGTAGTTGGAATTAACAGGTGTGCACCACTACACCTGGCTTATTTTTTGTATTAGTAGAGGTGAGGTTTTACCATGTTGACCAGGCTGGTCTTGAACTCCTGACCTCATGTGATCTACCCGCTTCAGCCTCTCAAAGTACTGGGATTACTGGTGTGAGCCACCACACCTGGCCATATACATAATCATTTAATAAGAAAAATGTTTGAAGGAGGATTTCTTCACTACCTGAATGTGAAATCCTTTATGTGTAATAATTGTTTTCTCAGTGATACCAGAGAACCAAATCGTCATCCAAGCATGTTTCTCTTACTTTTGGTGTTGGAGAGACTCTACCCTTCCCCGATGGATGGCACTTCTTCTGCTCTCAGCATGGGACCTTTTGTTCCCTTCATTATGAGGTAACGTCATGCTGTGTGGAAATGGTGGGGGTGGGTGTGGAAGATTTACGGGAATATTTTATCTTGTTCTTATTTCAGAAACTATTTTTTATATATGTATATATAACATATGTAACTATTTTATATATGTAACTTTTACACACACACACACACACACACACACACACACACACACACACACACAACTTTCAGAGGGGTCTTGTGAAGACAGAGGCCTGGGTCTTCTTGCTGTTGTCCCCAGCATTTCAGAGGAAGGTGCTTATATCATGGGTACAGGATCTCATTAGAACCTGTGTAAGTAATGTTTTCCTTGAGTCCTGTCTGCTTCAATGCAGGTTGGGTGTATGTTGTTGGTAGCAGATACTCCTTTTGAGAAACATAGCCCCGTGTTTGCATTATTTCTGTGTTGAGCCTGGCCAGCACGGAGCAGGCTCGGTTCTGGTATGTATCTTCTGTCCACGGGTTCAAGAGGACATCAGGATGTCTGACTCTTCACTCCAAAGGAGTCTGCCAGGAGGTGCAATGGGTGGCATGTAAATGGCAATGTCGTGTGGCATGAATTCCCACTCACCTTCTCTTTCGAGCTTGTAGTACCTGAAAAAAGTCATGAATGTAGAGTATTGATGGAATAAAAGGATAACAGGCTTCTCTTCTTTTGGAGCCTATTACCACTTGTTGTGTTACATCTTTTCAGGCATTTGCCATCTTCTGATTACTTTATTCATTTTGGATCAAAGGCCTAAATTTGTAGGCCTCCAAAAAGTATTAAAATTTTCTTATGAAACATTTCAGAAGCCCGTTGTATTAGTTAGCTCTTACCTTTCTGCTTACCTCTTGACAAAACAGTACCTTCATTTTTGTCTTCTACCAAAAATTGAAGTGGATTTAGAGCAGATGGATAAGAATCCAAACTCAAGAGAGCGTTTCTTATTTATGTGTTGTCCTGGGTTCCACTTCCTTGTTTTGCAGAGCTGACTTATGCATTTTAATGTGAGAAACCATTAAACATGAGATTCTGGCATGTACTTGCTGGAACTATTTGTTTGCCCAAGCCCTGGCTGTGGCTGTGTTATCTTTGATCACAGAGATGACTCATGCAGACTGGTTTTTGTTTCCTGATATACAAACTTACCAGTCTCCTTCATCAAGCATTTGGTGATTAATTTTAGGAATTTGGGTGGTAAATTTTACTTTCAGGGGCCTTAAAAAATGTTCTTTGATGAATAACTGGAAAGAACTAAGAAATGTTTTCAGAAAGTTGATGCAAGCAGGAAAGGCATGTGCACAGAATTGCCATTTACATCAGAAACAGAGATTTGCTTTAGAACCTGTCATCTGTCTTAAGAACTAACTTCTTCAGTTCAGGTACCTCAAAATTGTGGAATTTGTGGAAGCTTTTTACTACTCAATCTGTTGTTCATTGCATCCTAGTAATAAGAAATTACTACATGGAAAGTACCTTTCCAAAATGTTGCTTCGTTTACATATAATCAGAATTCTGATATTACTCATTATATTCAAAGTATCTATTATATAAAACAAATATTCCACTAATATAGAGGATTTAAAAATTGCTTTGAAGCCACCGTACTCAGGGCATCATTTATTAACCTCTAAAAATACAAAGTAAGAAGTTTGCAATCAGTCTCTTCTTCCAGTGAAAACGCTGCGGTTAGTAGTTGCTTTCTTCCAGTAAGTAAGATGCTCTGTGAAGTAAAAATTCATGTAGAAACCATCAATAGCAGAAGTGCCACAATTGATCCCTTAAGTACAGAATCAGTAGGCTCTGACTTATTGAGTGTCCATCTGTGTTGTAGAACAGTGTTCTTAAACCTCAAGATGTAAACATATCACTTGGTGATCACATAAATTCTGATTCATTAGACCTGGGGTGAGTCCTGAGAGCCTGACTTTCAGATGGTCTTCCAGGTAATGCCATTGCTGCTGGTCTGTAGATCACAAACTTAGAATATGAAATTTAATGCCATCACACACACAGACAGACACACACACACACACACACACACACGCACACACACACACAAATTTTAATAAGCTAGACAGTAGTAGGGTCATACTATATTTGGTTAGACAATTTAAAGAGTTTATTAAGAAGTAGATTTTGACCCAGGAATGCAGAAAACGAGAAAGAAAGTGTTCTGAGCAGAGAAGTCAGTAGGAAGTAGATCAATCTTTGTTGAGCCCTTTTTGCCAGGCAGTGAACTGGGCATTTTGCTTACAGTGACTCTTTGAGAAGAGGTGTTATCATCCTCATTTGCCCGTTCAGGAAATTGAGGTTCAGACAGTGAGGCAGTTGCAGAGCTAGAATTTGAACACAAGAGTGCAGGGCTTGTCAAGAGTGTTAGATGTACTCTTTCTGTTATACCAAAATAACCGTTTATTTTGGTTGCCTTTTGAGTAGCCAGTAACTTAGCTACACTGAATGGGCCTATAGGGTCTGAAATTTACGAAACTGAGAGAGATGAAGAGCCTATATCCACAGTTGGTGCATCTGAGGAAAAGGCTGTCTTCTGGATATAGAAGTAATTGTCTCTATCAATGATGGGATCTGTTCCTTATTTTGCTTTTCCGTAGGAAAAGTAGCTCATTGGAATGGTCAACCATGTGTGACTCATGGTGACAATTGCCTAGGGTTATAGGATTGATTTGTGGCCAGATACAGACGAACCCTGGCTCTATTTTCTTGACCACCTTCTGTGGTAAAGTGGAAGGCCCTCGATTTAGTTAGTTTGGGGTTTCGCCAACCAACCACAGGGACAACCAACCCATGCTACCCCAAAATGTTCACTGGGGAGGTAAACTATAAACAGATTTTTTAAGAATAGCGAATGTGATAAAACTGTATGCATTTGATTTACATGACCTCTGAGAAAATTATTCATGAAGAAAGTGAAAGGTTGATCATAAAACCTATCATTCCAGGGCTTGTGGTTCTGATAGTGATAAAGAGTGGGCTGTTTTGACTTGGGATAATAGCTGAAAAGATGGATGTATGTTTGCACAGTGGATCAGCAGTGTTTGATTTTTGTTCCATTTTTAAGGGCAATTTATATACTTGGAAGAGTTCTAATCAGGCTCATAGATACTATGAATTTGGCTAAAGAAAAAAATTTCAGTTTGTGGGAGTAGTGCAAAAGTGGCTCTGACTGTTAAAAGTGAATTGCGTAATGAGAAGAAGATTAAAAGAGCCAGCGACAGCTTTTTGTTTGCCTTTGATTTATGTCTACTTACCTGCTATTTCCTTCCTCTCTGTAAGGTATTTGTAAGTATTATTTGTAGTTTTAGTTGTTTATCCCGTGTTCAAGAGTATATCTAAGCTTATTTCTCTGTTGATTTTCTTCATTGATTTAAGTCTTAGAAGTCACTGATTTGGATTTTCCAAAATTATGCATACATGCCATTACGATTGTTGCATCCTCTTGGGACAGAAATGATAATGTCAATCCCAGCATCTTGTATACAACTTTTTAAAATCCAGTGTATTTTATGTTCTGATGTTGTGCGGGATCCAGATACACAGCCCTTTACCATGTGAGTGTGACGCCTTCAATTTTAGACTATTAATTCATTCTTCTGTTCAGGTACCTCAACGCAGAGTGATTCATGCTTTAAAAAGAATCTTGAGTGACTCTCTGAATATAACTCACCAGGGCCTGCTTCTCTGGGCTTTCTAGAGACTAGAAAGTCTTTTCAGATGCCAAAAAGTCTCTGGGCATATATCTCTAAGTTCTCTTTCACAAGCAAGTTTCAAGTTCCAGTCAAAGAGCTCTAACCATATAAGCCCCAAACCTTGGACCATAGAGTCCTGAGCAAAGTCCCAGGACTCAGAGACCTGATTCTGTCTAAGCTCTGTTGCCGAATCACTAACTGTGACACTTGGACAAGGCTTTTTGCCCTCTCTACACCAATGTGGTTACTTGTATGTATGCAAGTTTCAGTTAAGACAGAAAGTGCCTTCTACTGCAGATAACTGAGATCTGGTTAATACCTGCAGGAGAAATCCCTTCACTGCCCTTTTGAAGCACTTTTTAAAGGTTCTCTCTTACCCACAGCCCCCTTCCGCCCCCCCACCCTTTTTTTTTGTTGTTGTTGTTTATTTTCACTGCATATGACTTTCAGTACATTTATTTCCCCAATCCATTTAGTCATTGTTCTCTTTAGACAAGTTTTCAGTGAAATATCCTCTCCTTTCCTTTTCCCTCCTCCTTTCCTTCCTTGCTTTTTTAAAGAGATGGGGTCCCACTATGTTGCCCAGTTGGACCTGGAATTCCTGAACTCAAGTGATCCCCTGCTTTAGCCTCCCAAGTAGCTGGGACTGCAGGTGCACACTTGTGCCTGGGTTGCTTTTCTTTTCTCTGACTTTTTTTTTTTTTTTTTTTTTTTTTGAGATGGAGCCTTACTCCATTGCCCAGGCTGGAGTGCATCATCTCAGCTCACTGCAACCTCCGTCTCCCAGGTTCAAGTGATTCCCATGCCTCAGCCTCCTGAATAGCTGGGACCACAGGTGTACGCCACTGTGCCCAGTTAATGGCAGAAACCACAATTACTTTTGCACCAACCTAAATAATTTTTGTATTTTTAGTAGAGACAGGTTTTACCATATTGACCTGGCTAGCTTGGAACTCCCGGCCTTGAGCGATCTGTCCACCTCAGCCTCCCAAAATGCTAGACTTAGTAGCAGGTATTAGCCACCATGCCCAGTACTTTGCCAGATATTGAAATACAAATAGCAATACAATCTTAACTAAACATGTGGCAGTAGAAATGATTCAGAAGAACCTATGCAATGGAAAGTTTTTTAGTTGAAATATGGAACTCTAGCCAGTAATCACAGCATTAGAAAATACATGTTTTCTGTATTTTTAAAATATTTCATGGAATCTTTTGATTTTACCAGTCTTAAAGAGGGAGTTAGGGTACAAAAGCTTAAGAATTTGTTGGTCCTTTTAAGCCTATGATATTGGGAAATGACATTGACT